TTTATTTAATTTATTTTTAGCGGTAGTTTATTAATGATCCAATATACCTGGAATTTCTGGCTCCTTCAAACGAGGCTTGTGGAGAGTATTAAGCGGTAGACAGCGGCTTGGCTGTGCCCCTGGCATTACTGAAGTCCATGGGCAACGGTAACCACTCACCTTCAGGTGGGCCGTATGGTCGTCAGCCTAGAAGGGCAAAAAAAAATTAAAAAAACTCCCCTTAGACACTTCTACGTAGTGTTCAGAATTATCAGCTGGCTGCTACAATAGAAATCTTAAAAATGTTTGAAAACTACCAACTGTAATGAGCATCGACTGTTTAACGAATACGTTGATTCGAAATTTCACAGAACTGACCATTTCGATACTTAAGCGCTTTGTGTACACAGGTTTATGCATATATCGACGCTGGACATGCAAATGTCCATTCTTCATTGTTTGATAATCTCACTCGAATGAACGTATCAATATTTCAATTGTTAATTCCCGAGTCTCGGTATATTTTAATGTGTTAGAAATACAATAGCGTGTGTCACGGCATCGGAATGTACGACTGGACGAAAGTTCGCCGTTCTGTATTTTTTTTATTTTAAGGGGTTCTTGCTGTTTACTATATTTTTATACTTAATGTTTTAAATTGCTGATTTATCTCATGGTGTTTGTTTGAAGTGTCGACCGCGACTAAAGGGATCTCTTGTGTTACCTTAACCCTTTTTTTTCTTTTTGTCTAGATTAGCAGACGCGCTCACGATCCACATGGCTGCCATGGCATTTACTGGTGGTAGGACCTCATGTGAGTTCGCGCGGGTAGGTACCACCGCCTTACCTATTTCTGTCGTGAAGCAGTAATGCGTTTCGGTCTGAAGGGTAGAGCAGCCGTCGTAACTATACTGAGATCTTAGAACTTATATCTCAAGGTGGGTGGCGTATTTACGTTGTAGATGTCTATGGGCTCCAGTAACCACTTAACAACAGGTGGGCTGTGAGCTAGTCCACCCAGCTAAGCAATAAAAAAATACCTATAGATTTATAGCGATTTCCTCCTTGAAGCAAGAATTCAATATTTATATTTTTTTTCTAAATCGCTTATCGAACTCATAGAAGGATTCCTTCGACATTGACAACCCAAAAGAAAAGGAAGTTTTTTAAGATCATCATCATTATTATCACTAACGGGTTCGCAGGCTGATAATCTTTCGTTATCATTGCCTGTTTCTGTGTAGTTATAACGCAAAAAAAATACGAAATTTATTAATTTTTCTTAAATCACACCACCATATTATTATGAACATTTGTTTTAAATCTAAAATGATAAAATGTCGACCAACAAAACATTGGAAATATTAGAAGATAGGGCCTCAACGTTGCGCTCAGTACATTCCAGATCTTATGGTTTCCCGGGCAACACCTGTCTATGCCCAAAACGTTTTTGGGGGCGTCCTTATTGAGATCGGGGTGCAATCGGGTTGAATTACAAAGCAAATTTAAAATTAATCCAAACTTTTTCTGCATATTTTCAAATGTTTACACCTGTACATTCGATTTTATTTATCTCCTTTATTCCTATAATTTACACCAATATTGTTACTAGTAAGTATTGTTTAAAATGTATTTTATTTTACCATACGAACGCTCCAGTTTGTATGCTCGGTCACACTTAGATACTTTCCCATTATTTGTGTCTAGTATCTAGTATATCTTAACTTATTTGACTTCTAGTATTTGAGATCATATGCTATTAATGATCTAACTACTTTTAATTATTCACTAAAATACAATGACGTAAACATTTTTCTCATCAAACAAGATTGTGTAATGCATCGCGGGCAGTATAATGTTTCGCGGTCATAAATTCTTAGAAGGTTGAACGCAATCCAAAGAATATCGAACTGGCCACGCGAGATGCATATCGGGCCAGAGGTCAAGGAATGTGCTTGATAACTGGACAGATTTGACAGTGAAATAGCGAGCTGATGCAGTATACCTACATCAATACGGAAGACTGGACTCCGGTATCGTACAAAAAGTACCTACTTCCCTTAAGATTATGTTTTTAAAATACATAATTATATATGTAGGTATATATATATATATGTAGATATATGTAGGTAGGTAATTATTATGTAATAAATAACAAAAACACCGTTTGTATTTTTGTTATTTCTTACATTTTAATATATTTTTTTGTTACACACTAGTTGTTGTGCCGTTTCGGATATCATGATATCTAATGCTAAAGTGGGAACATTTTAAGCATCCAACCTTAGCTTTTCTGACTTAAGTGCCTAATTTAAAAAGCGTTCGCGTTCAAATGAGACCAAGGTATGCTGCTCGTAAAACCTGCCTTACAAAATAAAAGTAATGATTTATAATGAAAAGATTGACTTGTAGAATAAATACCTACTACCTACTTAACTAAGATTCAAAACGTGTTCCTTAAAATACTGTATAGAGTGCTGGGTAACGTTCCACAATGGCAGGTTTGGTCACAAATCAACTTCACAAAGCTAGGAATGATCAATCTCTTTCGTATCATAGGTCAAAACGGAGCTCACGTATTTTATAAGGTGCATTTTTTATCTTAAAACATCACCTTTCTATGAACCGAATGCGTTCGTCTGGTTATACATCACGGTTGACACAATACAGACGTAAGTATCTAATTTGAAATAATGTGGCTTCTCTATTGGATTCTTCCTTTACAAAATATCTCGCTGGAACTATTTTTAATAATGAAATTCAAAATGTATTGAACGTTATGCATATGAATACGGATTGAAGAAAAGCTATGATCATAACTGAATAAGTCCATAATAGCGAACTTGCCGAATAGTTTTAAGGCTTGACATGAGTGGATTTAAAAAAAAAAAACAGTATATTTTTACTTCTTCCAAACTAAAACCTGGATTATTTTCAGAGATTATTATTATTAGTGTATTTTTTTGGTAGTAGTAACCAAAACAAAACTAAAGTATTTAGCTCATTCTGCTTATAACAAATTTCTAATACTAATCTCTGGCAGGCCTCATCCGGTCATCAAACAATGCTGCCGACAGCTTGTCAACATCTGTTGTCCTAATTTAAAACGATCTTCCAGCTCACACTGCCCTGAGTATGTAATGTTATAGCAATAAGTAGACAGTTAGAACGTACAGATGCTATTATATTTTGTTATTTACTGAGACTAATTTAGTTACATACTAATTATTTGCCTCATGACACTATATTTAAATTTACATTTTATTGATAGATACATAACTCAAAAAACGACTTTCTGGTGTTTAAAAACATTATAGCTGAATTACTGTACTGGTTTAAAACCATAAATAGAATCATAGAAGAATATTAAGCTTCCCTGAGAACAAGATACCGAGCGCAAGAATTCAGGAAACTTAAATCAACTAAAGATCATCAGCTATCGAAAAAATATCTTAAAATTTAAGCCATAAGGTTGATATTTCCAGTCAACGATAAACGGCCGCAGTAATTTTTGTTGTCAGCCATGCGTAGTACATCCCGGATGTAGGCGAAAGGAAACAAGCGCGAGGCTCACTGACGACTCCACGGCGCGCATCGATAGTTATTTCCTCTGAATTATTGTTCTTTTGATTATTATTTAATGGTGATAATTACTTCTGAATATAAGTAAAATTATATGCAATGTGTTTGCTTTAAGGTAGAATGTTTGTTATCTTTCTAGTTTGATGTGGTAAAATTTGAAATGTCAACTAATGTTGCGTGGCTGTTAACAAATGGTTATCATTGCCCAGATAATTGTGATATTAATTACCTACTTAGCCGTGAGGTGATTTCAATTTATATTATACGGTAAGGCAGTGAAGGTATGTAATCTTACGAACAACGTGGGTAGGTATGGTTTCTGAAGTAAGCGTATTTATAAATTAATTTTTCATTACAAGATCATTACGTTTTGTGAAAATTTGTGGAGATTGTCGCAATATGAATTCGTGGTTTTCAAATAATAAAATGTATTTCAAAAACGTGGTAGGTTTTCGTTGTAAGAGTTCAAAAGATCGATTAAAAAATGTGTTTTTTGTGGTGCGACTGCGTTCTTTTAATGTCATGGCGAATGACAGATGAAATAGTGAAACAAATTAACGATTGTTTTATTCACAGGAAATTGTTAGATTTATTTTGAACAATTAGTTCTGAGTACATCCTCTTGTATACTCTTGGGTGTTTTACGGAGCAGATTATAATAGACGATTTTAAGGATGCATTGTTTGGAAATGATATTTCTTAATTGAAAATATATTTTCTATTTGTGTATGTATTAGGTTATCTTTTACTACTAGCTACCTTTGTGCTTAGTGCGAGTTTCTTAACGTTCTCGATAGCGTAAAAGTTAACCCAATTTTGTATGCAGTTGGAACAGCGCCCCTAACGGCAAAGAAAGGCAAACGATCGCATTCCATACAAACAGAAGCTAACTTTTACGCTATCAAGCGCACTAAGCACACTTACCCTAACAGATGACGGTTACGATTTTTGGAATATTTCTAATCAGTCGACTTGCACAAGACATTCCGGGTTTGATTCTTGATCGGAATAAATGTCTTCGTTTAAGATATTTTCAATCTTATTTCAAATCCGAAATGTTGTAATACAAATGTCTATGAATCTGGCACCCGCAACACAGTTGATAATCTCAGAACTAGTTTGGTGCCATTGAATGTCGAACATTTAACTTCGACTTAATTTCCATAACGTAGTAAATGGACATGTGCTGTATACTCTTAAAATTTCATAATTGTAATAATTCATTGACAAGTTTGGAATTGTTAATTCTACACATTTATAGACAGTTGTGAATTACTTCACGTAGGTATGTACCTAGCGATGAATGATTGTCTTTATCTTGACTTGAACAATGCCTGTTTTTGTATGAAAATCATGTTTCTTCCATATTCAGATAAGACTGATAAAACTGCGTATTATATATGATATAATGGTCAAGGAAAAAGAAAACAAGAACAATGTAGTAAACATTCGTATTTATAATATAATGTTGTCGTTTTATTTACAAATAAATACAAATTCAGTTAATAAATAAATGGTAAATTATCTACATCTTAATAAGTATGCTTTATATCTCATTTCTTAATCTTCTCTGGATTTGCGTAGAATCCAAAATACTAACGTTAACGTTTTTTTTATGACACGTTACGGTCTCAAGAAAATTTGAGACTTTCGACGTTCGGGCGACACGTTCACATACATTCACACTATAAAACTATATTTACAAGGTACTCGTAGACGATTCACACAGCGAGCGCGGGGCGCACGTCCGACGCCGGCCCCGCGCCACCACACTCCACGGACAGGCACAGCGATCACTGAGTCCACCCCCGCGCGGTCCGAAGCCTGCCGCTCGCCAATAAATATTTGTACAACGCGGTCGCGCCGCTCGACTCGGCGCTTCGGAGGGCGCGGGCGGCGCGCGGCGGGACTAGATAATACTGGAGAGCCGCGGCTGAGGGTCCGGACAACGACAGCCGGAGCGGCGACACCGCGCGTACAGCGCCGCTCCCGCCGCCGCACATCCACGCAGCGGCCAGTACAGCCAAAGGCACGGCAGCGGCACCGCCAGCGCACCCACACATGCGAGCCGCGGTCCGCACGCACACGGCTCGCCGGCTTCCTCCTCGCCGCTCCCGCAGTGGTAGAACAGCGCCTTCACGCAGCACATGCACGACGCGTAGTCAACGCATGCTTCCGCGCTGCATAGACAGGAGCCGCACAGCCAGCGCGAGGGTAGCGGCCGAGGTCGAGCGCACTGCTCGCAGCGACATCGCCCGCACGTTTCGCACACTATAGAATCGGCCTGGAGGGCGCCGGCGCGCCGCTTGTCGGCCGCGGCGGCCGGCTGCGTCGTCACCGGCTTGAGAGGTTGGTGCGCGCCCGCGTGTGCCGCTGCGGGTGACACGTGAGTTCGCCGAGGAGCCTCCACGTAGGCGTTGCGCTCGCGCTCGGCTTCAGGGCGCGGCCGCAGCAATGATACGGTGGGCTGGCGCGCGCCCGACGGCCTGTGGACGCGCGCCGCCGGCTTGGGCGGCCGGGGCGGCGCCGCCGGCCCGCCATACTCATCCATCGAGTCCGGCTAACGGCTCTCCGGGCCGTCGCCTTCCTGTTCCCTCATCGTCCCCACCTGCCAAGTAAAATAAAAAACATGAAAATAATGAAATTTGTTCATAAAATCCACATAAAAAAATGTTTAGTCTACCCTCAAAATATTGAATTTAAAATATTAACATGACTAGTTTTCGCTTTTTGAAAACAACACGAAATGTTATTATTTTAATAAATGCTCGAGGTTCACATAGTGACATTAGCGACGATTGCTTTAAACCAGTTCTCTGTTTACTGGGGTCATCTAATTAAAATAATAATAATCCGTCTGTATTATTATCCTAAAATTTCACCGGAAATTAAAAAAAACACGATGTTTGCATAAAGTGATACAAACACGTATGCTTGGCTGAAACGTGAGAACTATGATCTAGCAAAAACATATGAACTTTGCTTATTGTGCACTTAGAACAACTTATTACAATGTTTACCCATACACTGTATTGTAATATATTATAATTACCGTTCCTAATATTACTTCACACAATATTTTAAAAAAATCGAAATCAAATGTACTGGTTACAGTGGTCTTATGTTTTTACGACATGCCGAGCGTGAGCGAGGTGCTAATTATGGAAGTTAAGCGTATGGGTAAAGGGTAGTGACGTTGTGAACACCGTGACAGACGGGTTTAATAGTAAAATGCACTCTCCATTACATTTGTTGACCTTACCGATTTAAAAATCTGGACTTAGGTTTGTACTTTTAAGCAATACGAAAACATCTCACAGGAACGCTTTTTATTTCAATGTGTTTAAATAGATAGTAGTACTTTTGTAGTCCTTGTAAATAAGAATTTATATTGGAACTCAATTTAATGTTCTCATAAAACACAAATATTGAGCATTACGAGAATGTATATTTTATTTTATACAACGAGTCTCTATAATTCCAAAAAACAGTAAAAGATGAATACAATGTTTAATCTTATCATTGACAAATTATTTAAACAAAAACCCTTCAGTACGCTTTCTTCCCACTATTTTGTAAATACGTGTCTAGCTTACGATAATTGTAACAAAGTCGTTCACTCAGTAAACACGTACCGTCTAAGTCGAACGCCTTTGCAAAATAGAGTCTGGATCTATTTATTTACGTTACTTTAAAAATGTCGTCTATAAATTCAGTCAGGTCAATAGTCATTACAAATTTAAATATGTTTTATCTCTTATTTAAGATGATAGCAGACACTAAACGTACTGGTTTAACCTGCTCACGTCTGAAACGTATTCAAAATTATTCCCATTAAACTAATTAAATATTTGTCTTCCATGTAAAAGACAATCGCGTTGAGTTTTTCAATTTAGAAGTCTAGGTTTTATATGCATAAGGCAAAACATGATATTAACACATTTTTTCTGGTCTCACCCGTTAATAGCTATGGTGTATTGTTTAACTGATATTTTTTTTTTCTTAGATCGCAGGACGAGCTCACAGCCCACCTGTTGTTAAGTGGTTACTGGAGCCCATAGATATCTACAGCGTAAATGCGCCACCCACCTTGAGATATAAGTTCTAAGGTCTCAAGTATAATTATAACGGCTGCCCCACCCTTCAAACCGAAGCTTCTGCTTCACGGCAGAAATAGGCGGGGTAGTGGTACCTACCCGCGCGGACTTACGGTCCTACCACCAGTAAATTACCGCTCGTTTATGAGATTTCAAGTGATAGCATAGGCTTACGTTTTTTATAATTTTTTGTAGTGGATTGCTAGCGTAGGGCGATGTATAAAATAATGTTTGTTTCATTACTCAACAGTTACGATTATTATAACAGATACAAGAAAACGGCAACCGAACTGTGTCGTTACTAGCGCAATGGCCGGAATGTTTTTCTTAGGAACTTGTATATGTGGACATGTATGTGCTAATCTTGTAAATGTTATTACGCAACTCAGGTATCAAATATCATCCATTTTATGATAACTGCCACTACAATGGCTGGGTTTAACTATTCCTGTGGTACTAAGTTTTGTCGGTAAAATGTTTTGAAAGTTTCTGTTTATTTCGAAGTTCATAACATAGTTGTGGCGTTTGTATGTGTATTTTATGAAAACAATGCTGTGATAATTTTATTCAAAAGTACTATCGATATATTAAGTTTTCATCGTGGTTATAACAATGACTGGATTTATTATTTTCTGTAAAAATACGATAAAATTCTTAAAAACGTGGATGTCATATTTTTACGCGTGTTTTAAAGAATTTAGTGAAATATACTAGTTTTTGGTTAATTCTATATCAACTATACAGTTAAGATTACATTCCTGCTTTGATTATTCGCTAAATACAATGGTAGTAAGTTCGGGTATTAACAAAACAAATGAGTAAATGTCCTCAGTCCTTTTTTCAGTATGCTCATACTAAGCTATCATTCGTTTCCGAGAAACTACTGTATTTCATCGAATTTTCTTACTTAACTCAAACTTAACCTAGTTTATGCAGTCATCTATACTGTGGGCTTAAATCGTATTGTTCTCAAGAAGGTCGTTGATAAAACCGAAAGTCATGTCTAACTACCAAATCGATTCCAGTTGTCCCAATACCACCTAGTATAGGAAAACAATTTGAACTCATCGGATCTCATGTTGCAAACGGAACCATTCTTAATTTCCTACCTAACGCAACTCATTCTTTCATGTTTTGGCAGTAAATTATTCACGCCTCTTTATATGAAGAACGGATTAATATACCTAGTTGAAACTTTCACTGTTTAATAGTGATATGTTATGTGTATATGAACGCCAGTTAGAGATTAATCAAGTAGGCCGTGAATTCCTCTATCTATTGAAGGTAGTGAAAAAATTCTGAAAGATCAGAAACTTTCCATTTTGCATCGTAAATTCTCGTGTACTTTACATAGCCTTCAAACTTTTTCTTCAAAAGACCATCAAATTTGAGATCCATAACTTTTTTTTAATATGCCATCCTTTTCAGTTCTTCTCAATGATTGTGTTAAATTTAATGGTGTCTGTTTAAGGAACCAACTTATATGTCCTAATCTAAATCTACTACCATTGCGAGTAGTATAGTATTTTTCTTATTAGTAATTACTTATTTCCTCTTACGATAAAAATCCGTTGAGTTCTTCGGATTCAAAGGTTATCGAGGGTCGATTAACGCCACAGCATGTCTGTCACCAGCTTTTCTAATGATAAAATCCATAATTTTTATTTCACGCAAAACATTACGAATCGATTTATTCATAAAGTTAACTCAATGATTAGTGCTACTTTTTGTGATTCCATAGATATAAGTTTAGTATAGCAGCTCACGGCATAATTGGCCGATAACCACTGCGGTTACCGGTGCGTATTGACATCAGAAACGTGATTGCCATCACCTATCTTGAAAGAAGTCGAAGTTTACGGCTTTTCTACCGTTCAGACCAATACGCACGGTGCTTCGCGGCAAAATCGGTAGAATCGTGGTAGCTACACTCTAACGCTACGAAGCTTTAATCGGACAGGCTTCTTTTAATGCTATACCTATACTAATAAACCCAAGATTATGAACATATAAAGAATTCTAATAGGGGTAAATACATTTGGAAAACAAACATGCAAATCATTACGCACTGTGTAAGATTCTGTAGGTTTGTTTAACAGGCATTCACAGGAAAAAATAGTGTTGTTAATGACAAAAAGTTGGGTAAAAAAAGAGAAACCGCTTTCTGGATAGTATTCGCAGAGACAAATTCAATGAGCCCAAACACGATCTATTTACTACAGTCATGCAAGAGATACACCATCCAAATTTCAGTCATTCTGTCAATCAGTCGTTATCTGATTGAGTTTGACGATATAGAAAAAAGGGTTCGTTCATATTTAGTTTCCCTTATATTCACCTCTTCATGCATAATTATTAACTACTTGAAAGCTTGTAAGTTATACTAGTTTTCAAAATTAATCAACTATATCTCATTTAAACTAAGTACTTTTCATCAGAAGTTGTTCTTAAAATCAATTGTCAAATAAGGACTCACGACTTGAAATGTTTTATTATTAGCGATTATTGAATAAAATTAAAGAAGTTTTGTAGACTCATTAAATCCAATCTGAAAATAAGTTAACCCACAAATCATTTCGATACATGTATCGTTGCGTGAATTAGTTTCACGCATACCTTCCAAATGTTGTAAATAGGTCTGCGGCATAGTATGGTCAGTATGGAATTAAAAGGATTTTCTTTTTTGCTACTTGACTACGGAAAAGAGCAGTTTATTAAGTTTTAAAGTATTTTGGTATGTTTTAAGTAATTAGAGAAATATAACCACATTTTATAATATAAATTAAAAATTAAGTATTTAGATATACGTATTTATTTTTCATTCCGATTTTTTCGTGTTATCTTTGAAAGTTCGTTAAAATATTACGAGTTTATATTGAAGCATTGTTTAAAAAAATATTCTTTATCTGCGTTGACTGTTTGTTATCAAGAATTATTGTCGAAATTCGTTCCACTGTTGCTATAATAAACTCATAACGTTTAAATTTCTCCTGTTATTTATTATTTACTTATTGTAACATTGTATATTATTCACGTTTTGTAAATTTATTTACGAACCGTGTTAGTTAAATTCAAATGAATAGTTTCATTCTTTTGTAACCTTTATGATATCAACACTACAATTGAGTGTTTTGGAATCTGTATTGTTTACGAAAATAAATGAGAGATGTGGTAGTATTATTAACGAGTTAGTTTAGAACGTTCTCGCGTTGCGCTGTTCGCTGCACGTGTGCCCGTCGCCAAGCGGCGAGGCGAGGCGTCGTTTCTCGTCATTCATCTTAAAGTGACTTCTTTGTAAATAATGTTAACCCTTTCGTAAATAATTTAGTGACCCGCCTAGTCCTAGCTTCTCGTAAGTTTGGTTTCCCTGACAAGACTACAGATTTTCGCTGTGGGACGTCGTTTATGTACTTACGAAACAAACGTTCCACGGTCACATCTCTACACAAGGACACTCGGACCAGGCGGTCCCACACACAACACTGATCTACAGAGGATTTATGATCGGATCTAATTGCCGATCGTGCCGCTACGAATCCACGCCGGAAGACTCACTTCCCCACAAAAATACGGTGGAATCACCGATTTTCGGTCGCGCAAATCCACGGGAAGGTTCATGAGACCGGCGCGGTCCGGAGCGGCACCTGGTGCGGGCGGGGGACGGCCCACGCACCGGCCTCGATTCTCGTCCGCCCGCCGCGCGGTTATCACTGCAATATGGCCGCTACTCACTTCCTCGCTGAAGTTCTTCGTTGATTTCTACTTCTGATCTCGACGACGGCGTTTTTTGTGACCGTTCCGAACTCGTGCGGATTCACTGCACTTATTCTTATACACATTTTAATGGAAAACCGGGAGCGCTAGCGCTACGCTCCAACGAAACGACCGTTCCGTTCGCTGGCACATTCCGCACTGGCTTCGGGTGCGGGTGCGGGTCGGCGGGAGACGCTGCGCCCTCACCGCCGCACACCACACCGCCCGCACCTCGCCTTTTTATGAATGGAAGGCGGCCATACTGAATGAACCGCGTACACAGAGCGGTTGGCCGCTATTTTCGCGGGCGAGAGCGACGTTAGGGGTCCGGGGGACGGAGGCCGGAAGCGGGCTGCGAGCGCTCACGGTGCCAAATTTTGCGGCGCGGGCGGCAGTAGCGGATGTGCTCGTTTACCAAGCTTCCGGTGAGATCCCCCCGCGCAACCACATCCGGGAATTAGGTTTCCGGTTGGCGAGAGTCGTGCCGTGAGGCTGCCATCCACATGCGTCTTTAAAAACTGTACAAAAAGTATAATCCTTAAAGGCATATGTACTCGTAAAAATGAATCAATTAAATAAATTATTTTACGATAATTAATAAAGATCTGAAAACAAACATTTAAAGTAAGTACGCAACAGCCGAAGGGTGTGCTGTACTGATTAGTCGACAACTATGGCGTTTGTTATCGGTAGCGGTAATTTTCGCAAGGTTGCAGCGACAATAAAAGCGTTGTGCACGCGGCGTCTCTGTGTCAAGGACAAGCGATAACGCAACCATACGATGACAAAATTAAATGTCACAGTACCCATCGAAGCAGGCATCACAAATTCTATAAAACATGTCCGCCTAGTTATCAAACTATTCTCAAAGTAAGTACAAACCAAATGTTGTTAATTGATATGCACTTTAGTTTTCTTTCGCAAGAAGGAGTCTAATTAGCAAATGAATAAAGTTTGTCAAAAGCAAGTTTTAAAATTAGCCTTTCAATAACAATTATATTTACATAACTTTGTTTTGTAGAAATGTTGTACGTACATTATTGCTTTTTTAAGTTGGTGACGGTAATGTCGTAGTAGATACAACTATTGAATTCTGTATATAATAATACTTCGCCGCAGATGTTGGTATCTACGTATTATTATCTACTCTGCGGGCTCACACACAGTCATCATAACTACGCTTTTTTCTAATCTGAATAGTCTGAATGATCTGAATAATCTGAATTTCAACAAATTAATCATGTTGTTTATAACCTTATTTATGAAAGTCATATCTCCTTGTTTTATGACATTTTTATTTGAAATAATTGTTTTTTCGATTTAATCGATTTGAGACTTTTGACGATTTTGAGATCAAATAGCCTAATAGATAATAATTACTCGTACCAATCAAGACATAACTTACATAATAATTCAATTAATTACAATTTCAATTAATGATTTGAAAAAAAAGCGGATAGTAGTAAACCGGATAGTAGCTAAATTGTAATTTCATGAAGCCATAAATGAAATGCAGCCCGGTAAAATACAAAAACATCGTAGTTTTACCGAAGATACAAATTTTTGAGAAACCATTCAAAATCCGTAGTAGTTAAATGAGTAGCCATTTTTTATTTAAAAAAAAGATGCTCGAGTGATTGTCTCCGTTATTAACTAAACAATACACTGAGATACAGTACGTACAACTTCGAAGAATATACAAGACTCAAGTTATCACGTACTGCATATCCCATTGTCTATTGTTGGTTCGTGTCTACCTAACTTTCGTGAAATCGTAAATTGATGCTTCTGTAAATAAAATACAGGTACCGTGAATCAAGTTGAGTGACCACAGAATAAAATTTTAGTGCATTATATCTCTGGTAACGGTTAGATTGTTACGAACAGATATTAATTTGAAACAAAAATCACTTATTGGCCTAACAGCACTAATCTCACTGAGCAGTTACCTGTGCTCATAGACTTCACAACGAAATATGGGCAGGTACTTTGAGACAAGAGATCGAATTTTTTACTGTGTATCAGCTGCCCTACTTTGCTAAAGTATTTTCTATTTCGGAACATGGTAGATGATATGGTAGTACCTACACGTGCGGGACTACACCACTTCCTATCACAATTAAAATCCCACTCCTGTGTCTTTGTTCAATCCTATTCCTGTAATTATGCGTAGAAGACTTCTCATAGTCGAGTAGGCGTTTTAAACGATAGCCCACTCGATAGAAATCAGGTTCCGTTTGTTATTCTGGAGGCGGCGCAAGGCTAGCCAGGCCGGAAGTCTCCGCCGCCCGCACTTTCCATCCGCTATCGCCAGCACTGCATCTACGTAGCTAAATTGGTCCCATCTCTTACAAAATTACACTATTAATAAGACGAGTTTCCATTTGTAAGTGTGTATTTAAATATTACGGTGTAAAAGAATCGTTTTGTAAATTCGCTTAGATTAAATAAAGAATTTGATTCAATAATACGATATTGATTATAACCTTAATCGTCGAATTTAAATCTGCATTTTAGTTGACCTAGTAGACAAAATAAGACACTGCTAGACCAATATTTAAATAAATTTCTGAAGAATCAATTTTTTTGTTGGCTGGTAACATTTCCTACTATTTCTGTTTAGATTAACGTGTTATGACGCCATTTTTAAATCTTACGTATTAAAAAAAGACGCGTACCTACGTATTACGAACAATAAATGTACTTACACTATTTTAAAATAAACATTACTTTATTGGCACAGAATAAACCATGAATCTCAAGAATCTTGGAATACATATATTCACTATGATCGAATAAAACGAATCACTGTTCAAATGATACCTCCCAGTAAAAATCAAACAGTCAAATCTCTTGTCGCATTTTAGGCAAACGGTACATCTTGAACTCGTTTATTAAGCTACTGTTACACGTTGATATTACGAAATAAAGCGTCTAGTTACCCAACAACGATAAACTATATTGTTTTGAACATTAATATTATCTTTCGCGAGCTTTAACGGCCGATAAACAGTTCATTTAAGAGTGCTGTTTGTCTAAAATTCTTATCTTTTAATATAATAGTCGTTTGAATTTGATATATTCGTTTGATACTGGCGTACGGGGCGGACGCGTCTACTAATAATACCGGATGTTTGCTACAGATAAAAGAAACGTGAACGAATACGTCGTGATTGTGAAGAGACGTGCGTATATTTCGCGCACATTCGATGGCGCGTCGATATGTTTATGGCAACACAACATTTATTTTTTTATTACTTAGATGGGTGGACGAGCTCACAGCCCACCTGGTGTTAAGTGGTTACTGGAGCCCATAGAATTTTTTTTTTTTTGGTACAATTTTTCCTTGTTAGGAAAGGCAAGGGGATCTAAGCCCATACAGCCTAGCCCATAGACATCTACAACGTAAATGCGCCACCCATCTTTAGATATAAGTTCTAAAGTCTCAAGTATAGTTACAACGGCTTCCCCACCCTTCAAACCGAAACACATTACTGCTTCACGGCAGAAACAGGCGGGTGGTGGTACCTACCAGCGCGGACTCACAAGAGGTCCTACCACCAGTAAAACATGGTCCAAAGAGCCTTTACATATATTAATATATCGTAGAAGTTTCCATGATAATAATGTATCAAGTTCTCTGTGTTTCGAGCTATTTATTGATTCTGTTTCCTCCTTTATAAGACTTATCTTCGCGTAATTGCTAACATTTTTGAATACCATAGATCCGTGGACCATCTCATGGTTTATTGTTAAGTGGTCAAAAAAGGCCATAGACATTAAAACGTGGTTACCTCCATTTTCCAAAGTTAGCGGCTCCATTCACTCGTTATAGTGGTATATGGACTATCCATAGTTAAAAAAAAGTTATGAACTAGCCATATGGCTAGTTAAAAAAGCTATGAACTCGAACTCAGCTAGCAAATAAAGAGTTTCAAAGTAGTATCTTTAATTTTGTTCGCAGTTGTTCAAACTGCCATGTGGGGCCGAGTGAGGCGTTGTTAACACGACGAATAATGCATCGTTTTTTTTGTTTTTCGCATTCATTATTCGAGCCAATCTAAATACAATAGCAAAGTATCGTGAATGACACTTAAATCATCGTATGACTACACGCACACTACAACCGGCGTCATAACTACGAACACAGTCGCCGTCAGAAGATGAAACAACATTATTATTTTTAATTAATAAAAAAAATATATGAATTAAGCGTTACGTAATAACAACGCTATAATCAAGGATGAGCGAGCCGGTGACCGTGTACGATTGGGTCCATTCATGGCACTCACTCATCGACGATGACCTTAGTCGTGTAAACCATGTGGATTCCAATTCAGTTCAGTACAAGCGCGGCCGATGTGTGTAGTAGCGAATATTTGTCCACGCGCAATAAGAAACATTAAGCTGCTAATTCGACATGCGCTGCCATTTAAAAATTGTTTTACAACGGCATTCGTTTATAAACAAAGAATATATATTCGTGTATTCTTGTTTTAATTGAAGGCAATTATATAAATTCCACATAGCGGTTGGTTGAGGGCGAGCACGGGGTGCGGGCGGCGGGGCGAGCGAGGCAGTCGACCTTCCGTGAGGTCGTCCGTCCGGAGGCAACCGCGGCCCTCCCTACTTCGTGCGATCGTGGCACTCTAATGCCAACCGTCACGACCATTACATCTCCCTCTCACTACTCGACTGTTACAACATCACTACTGCTCACCTACAATCGAAAAACTTGATTCGTCAACCGTTTGTTAAATTAATACTTCCACCAAAGAGTAGGTATCCAACCACACTGAGAAATACATTTGACAAAATTTTAATAAAACACGAATTAAGTATTTCATATTGAATATTGTTTAGGAAGCGAGATTTAAATGATATGTTTTGAAGATTTGTGTGGATTAGAACTGTACATATTCAAAAGTATTTTTGTCAAGATAATTCTTGACGAATGCATAGTTTTTATTTCAACCATAAAACGAATTGTGTTTGACAAAATTATTGGTCGTAATAAACGTGTCGAGACTCCAATTTTCAAGTTCCAGGTACGTTGTTAGTGATTAGAAAATACCAAAGTAATGACGTGCGCCTCCAGGATGTACGATGTTCACTCAAAAAGCAAAAGTAGCTGCGACAGAGAGCTAGTGGAGCGTCCACCGTCCACTGGCAGGCCAATGACACCTCCTCGCCTTGATTAAGTCT